CTCATCCCCAATTCCATGAGGAATATCAGCATGAATATCAGACACAATCACAGGCTAAACATGCTGACATACAACACTCGGGGGGGGGGAAGGGGCCTGAGGTGCAGGGAAAACATCAGGAGAAAATGCTGCCAGAACACCTTGGCCATACAGCCCACACAGCACCCCAGGTGCACTAGAGCTGACTCCCCCAAAGCAGGGCCCTTACCTTCCATGAGGACCCGGAAGACGTCACGGAGGATCGTGGCCGTGGATCCCAGGACGAAGACGGAGAACAGGAAGGTGCTGACGGGATCCGCGATCTTGTACTGGGGCTGCAGGGAGACGATGATGGGAAGGTGGGCTGGACCCCCAAGGACTCAGGCCAAGGACAAAGGGCAAAGCCTTCCTGCACAGCCCTGCAGACCCCCTTCCCTCCCTCCCTCCCTCCCTCCTTACCTTGAAGTAGATGACGGTGGCAGCCACAAAGACCCCAATGCTCTGGAGCAGGTCCCCCACAACATGGACGAAGGCGGCCCGGACGCTGGTGTTGCTGCGGGGAACTAAGGGGCCCCCGCAGGGGCTCTCCCCGATCCGCTCATAGCCCCCTTGGCCCAGGCAGTGGTGGCTATGCGGGGAGCCAGACTGGTGCAAGAGGTAGGCCATGCTGCAAGGGACAGGCACAGGCATCACTAACACTGCATGCATCCGTGCGTGTGTGTGTGCTTGTGTGAGAGGCACAACCCTTTCCCAACTGCCCCCCCCCCAACCAGAATTATTGTTGATTTTGTTGGGTTTAATCCCTGGACTGCACAATTATTATTTTATTTATTTACTTTATTTCTATGCCGCTTTTCTCAGCCCTTAGGCGACTCAAAGCGGTTTACACAACAATGCAAAATATCACAAAACAGTATAATGCAATTCTCTTGTTTCATCAAGTCTCCAGACCACAATGAGTAGATAGGCCACTCATAATCCCATCATTTAGCAACTATTTTCCTTTGTTTTTACTGTTGCTGCACCTCCTTTCACGTCATTGGCTGAGCGGCCGAAGCGGGGCTCGGCCTCTCATTGGATGAGCCACTCCAGTCCCCGGCCTCTCCTCCCAGCTTGCTGACGTCAGGGCTCCCCCCTGACCAATTCCAGCAAAGCCGGCTCTGGGGGCAGATAAGGGAAATTCAGACTGGGAAAAGTATTAAATGTATAATTTCTCGTACTGGAGCATGGCGGCTCTTCAGCAGATTACTGCAGCCGTTATCCTTTAAATACCTCGGTGGCTTCTGCTTCAACTTGGTGAGATTTATTTTGGAAAATTGGCTTCTCTTTTCTCACCAGTGACTTCGATCTCACTATTTATTTATTTATTTATTTATTTATTTACTGTATTTGTATACCGCCTTTCTCAGCCAATTGGCATCTCAAGGCGGTTCTTTGATCTCACTATCCACAGCAATTCTAAATTGCTCGACAACAAAGGAAAGTGGGTTTGGATGCGGGGGCCACAAGGCACACAGGAAATGGGCCAGGGCTCCTGTGCCTCTGCAGAAGAGAGCTTCCTGCTGGTTGGCTGACAAGGAAGGCTTCCTGCCAGCCCCTCTTCTGCACCCCATGGAAGGTGGAGGAGTCCTCCATAGATTTCTCTCTGGCGATCCCCTGAAGGTGGGAGGTCTTTCTCCCCATGACTCCCCACACAAAACCGCTTTATGACTGAGAACAGAGGTTAAACATGGGCCCTTCAGTTGTGGGTTTCCTCTTTGGTCCTAGGTCCCCGAGCCCCCACTTGTGACACCTGAGCCTATGTGGCTGCAGCCCCCCAAATCCCCACCACCATCACCATCTTGGCTTCTGCTCACATGATGTTGACCCCGACGGCGCAGGCGGAGGTGCCCAGCATGGCAGAGGCCTCAATCTCGTAGTCGTTGCTGATGATGCGGGCCGAGGCCAGGTAGACCAGGACCGCCGTGACGGTCCAGATGGAGAGGACCGAGGCCAGCGCCCCCAGCGTCTCTGTGCGGGGAAAGGGAGAAGGAGTGAATGGTCAGCTGTCCACCTCTGTCCTATAGATGCACTTCGTGGTGCTTTGGAGGTCAATGTTGCACTCTGGCTCCAAAATGGACGGTGAAGCGTCTGAGAAAAGCGGTAAAAGGTCTCTCCCAGGAATGTGGCCTTGTGAATCATCCTGAATTTAACTCAGGCCCAAATAAACCCTCATCCCCAATCCCATGAGGAATATTCCCATCATGAGCATCAGCATGAGCATCAGACACAATCACATGCTAAACCCAGCGCCACACACTAGACTAAGAATGTTTATGCAAAAAGGCAATTCCAAAAGGGTCAGGAGAATAGTGAATACAAAAGCAACATGAATCTAAAAAAATCAAAGTACATAAAGTCAGAAGTACCAAAATCCAAGCTTAAATCTATAAACAAGGCAACGGGAACTTTTTCAAGGGAAACCCTTCCAGGAAACATAGGCATGAACTAAAATACGAAACTTGAAGATACTGGAAACATGAACTTGAGAGCTGAGACAGCCATCCTTTGCCAACCTTGTCTCCTCTAAGAGGTCTGGAAGGCCAGGTGCGTTCGCCATGATGTCATGGCTACTTGATCAGACTTAAATTAAGTAATGTTGGCCTTAAGTCTGACCAAGTAGCCATGAGATCATGCCGAACGCACCTGGCCTTCCAGACCTCTTCACAGATTCTCTCAGACCGTCTAATTGGTCTGTTTTTCACTCCCTCTGTTCTCAAGTCTAATCTGGTTTTGTGGGAAAACTCTCCACTGGCCAAAGGAACTGGTTTCACTATCCCTGGTGGCTTGGGAACGACCACATCTCTCCTAGCACTGGCAGACTCATCACTTGAAATCCAGCAGACCCCTGTCCTCCAACATGCCACAAAAGTCAGAGGAACCCTCAGCCACTTGCTGAGCTACAACAATCTTGGAGGGAGGAGGAGGCCCCTACCTGTGCGGTGCCAGCCGAAGGTCATGGTCCTGGTGGCCGGCCGGGTGGAGACCCAGAGGGAGAAGAGGCTGACCCCCATGCTGCCCATGTCCGTCAGCAGGTGGGCTGCATCCGTCATGATGGCCAGGCTGTGGGCCAGGTAGCCCCCTGAAAGGCAAGCACAGGGGACTCAGGAGCCGGCTTCAGAGGCAAAGGATGGTCATTGAAGTCTCCCCCCACACCACCCCACCTCCTCCAGCCCCACTGACCGATGACCTCTCCCAGCATGAAGAGGAAGCAGACGGCGCACGCGATGCGGAGCTTCCTCTGGGCCTGGAGCTTCTGCTGGCTCTGACTGGGGGAGCAGGGGCCGCGGCACTGGTGGCAGTGGAGGGCCGCAGGGGGCTCGGCGTTCGTCGTCATCGTGGGTGCGGGGGCCTCCATGGGAGCCGCAGAGGGGCCCTTCTCGGGGGGCAGCCCAGCCAGGGCCTCCTGGGAGCCTGCAAAGAGACTGAGGGGGCACACGGGCATCAGGGCTGGGCATCGGGCTCTCCCTTTGGCCTTTAGGGCTCTGAGATCTGCCGAGGAGGCCCTTCTCTCAGTCCCACCACCTGGTTGGTGGTGACGAGAGAGAGGACCTTCTTGGTGGTGGCTCCTCGGCTCTTGAATGCCCTTCCTAAAGAGATTAGGTTAGCTCCCACTCTCCAAAACATTCAATCTAGCCTAAAAACAGGGTTTTGTCCTTGAATAGTCTGCAATGGTTGCATGTGAGGACTGATTGTTCACTCCAGCACTTGTTTGTTTGTTTGTTTGTTTACTATATTTATATACTGCCCCTCTCAGCCCAGAGATGACTTTTATCTCATTAACTGAAGTGAGCCAGGATTACCCGCAGGCAACCCTGTATGTTATATACGTTAACGTTTATCATGTGAAGTTGTGTACGTTTGATGTGTTGCAGTGGTTAGTTGATGTTGTTATTGTTTCTATGCATAAGTATTGATTATTTTTATGTGTGGCACCCTGGAGCGCTCTTGTAGGCCGCCCCAAGTCTCTTCATAGAATCCTAGAAGAGTTGGAAGAGATCCAAGTCCAACCCCATTCTGCCAAGAAGAAGGAGAATCACCTTCAAAGCACCCCTGACAGATGGCCATCCACCCTCTGCTTAAAAGCCTCCAAAGAAGGAGTCTCTACCACACTCCAGGGAGATGGTGGCAGGATATAAATAAAGATTATTATTATTATTATTATTATTATTATTATTATTATTATTAGACTCTAGAGTGAAAGGAAAAGCAGACCCTGATAGCCTCTGGCACCAAAAGAGAAAACAAAGGGAGAGAGGAAAAATTAAGCAAATTCAGGGAAATAGTTTGGAGAAGGGCGGGGTAGAAATGAAGGAAATAAATAATAAATAAATAAATATATGTATGCTCATGCTCATAATCTTGGACTTCTAAGCTAAGCCGAGTCTCAGGAAACTAGTCCAATGTGGGCTAGGCAAAACTACGGTGAGGTGGATCTGTAACTGGTTAAGTGGACGAACACAGAGAGTGCTCACTAATGCTTCCTCTTCATCTTGGAAAGAAGTGACGAGTGGAGTGCCGCAGGGTTCCGTCCTGGGCCCGGTCCTGTTCAACATCTTTATTAATGACTTAGATGAAGGGCTAGAAGGCATGATCATCAAGTTTGCAGACGACACCAAATTGGGAGGGATAGCCAATATTCCAGAGGACAGGAGCAGGATTCAAAACGATCTTGACAGATTAGAGAGATGGGCCAAAACTAACAAAATGAAGTTCAACAGTGACAAATGCAAGATACTCCACTTTGGCAGAAAAAATGAAATGCAAAGATACAGAATGGGTGACGCCTGGCTCGAGAGCAGTACGTGTGAAAAAGATCTTGGAGTCCTCGTGGACAACAAGTTAAACATGAGCCAACAATGTGATGTGGCGGCAAAAAAAGCCAATGGGGTTTTGGCCTGCATCAATAGGAGCATAGTGTCTAGATCTAAGGAAGTAATGCTACCCCTCTATTCTGCTTTGGTTAGACCACATCTGGAATATTGTGTCCAATTCTGGGCACCACAATTCAAGAGAGATATTGACAAGCTGGAATGTGTCCAGAGGAGGGCGACTAAAATGATCAAGGGCCTGGAGAACAAGCCCTATGAGAAGCGGCTTAAGACTCGGGATGTTTAGCCTGAAGAAGAGAAGGCTGAGAGGAGATATGATAGCCATGTATAAATATGTGAGAGGAAGCCACAGGGAGGAGGGAGCAAGCTTGTTTTCTGCTTCCTTGGAGACTAGGACGCGGAACAATGGCTTCAAACTACAAGAAAGGAGATTCCATCTGAACATGAGGAAGAACTTCCTGACTGTGAGAGCCGTTCAGCAGTGGAACTCTCTGCCCCGGAGTGTGGTGGAGGCTCCTTCTTTGGAAGCTTTTAAACAGAGGCTGGATGGCCATCTGTCAGGGGTGATTTGAATGCAATATTCCTGCTTCTTGGCAGGGGGTTGGACTGGATGGCCCATGAGGTCTCTTCCAACTCTTTGATTCTATGATTCTATGATTCTATGATTCATGTTGGTGTGGCACATTCCTTAGTTGTTCCACCCAGCAGGATGACTTGTTCAATTAAACCCATTGAACTGGATCTCCTTGCTTGTAGAGCCTAATGATAGTGACTCTATGGGTTTGGGGATTGCCTTTTGAAACTGAGTCCTAGCTGCCTGGCCCTGGCCCTCCGGACTTAAGCCTCCCAACAATCCTGTGAGGGAGGCCCCGGGCTGACCCAAGGCCCCGAAACCTAGAGCCAGACCCTGCCCTCCTCTGCAGTCTGAGGCTCTCTCTCCCAAAATGACCAGCCGGAGACTGCATCATCCTCACGGATATATCCCTTTCAGGAGCAACAAGAGTCATGGCAAAATGGGTCCAAAAAAGAAGCAGGGAGGAGAAGGGAAAGGAAGGAAAAGCAGGAGATGTGAGGGATCTGGCCCATTTGCCAGGAGCTCTTGCAAGGCATGGTTGACATCCGAGCTGCAGAGATTTTGTGGGGAAAGGAGGAGTAAGTACAGGGCCAAAAGGGATCCAATTTGGGGGGGGGGAGGCAGGAGGATTGGCCGGTGGCCCCTTGGAAGTTTTCCCCAGTGGGCCCCCACGGGCACAAATCCTGATCATAGAATCCTAGAATCCTAGAGTTGGAAGAGGCCTCCTGGGCCATCATCCAGTCCAACCTCATTCTGGCAAGAAGCAGGAAAATCGCCTTCAAAGCATCCCTGACAGATGGCCATCCAACCTCTGCTTAAAAGCCTCCAAGGAAGGAGCCTCCACCACACTCTGGGGCAGAGAGTTCCACTGCTGAACAGCTCTCACAGTCAGGAAGTTCTTCCTCATGTTCAGATGGAATCTCCTCTCTTGTAGTTTGAAGCCATTGTTCCACATCTTAGTCTCCAGGGAAGCAGAAAACACGCTTGCTCCCTCCTCCCTAGGACTTCTCTTTATCTCTTGATCCCGGGCCCTCATCACGTCTCCTCTCCACCATCTCTTCTGCAGGCTAAATATACCCAGCTCTTTTAGCTGCTCCTCATTGGGCTTGCTCTCCAGACCAATAATCCTTTGAGTCGCCCTCTGCTTAAAAGTCTTCTCTGAGGCTTTTAAGCAGAGGCTGGATGAGCATCTGCTGGGAGGGCTTTGATTTTGTCTTCCTAACTTAGTTCTAAATAAGCTTTATTGAATTGAATTGCAATTTTTTTTATCACCATTAATATTTAGTTCTGTTTTAATATTTGTAGATTTAAAATGGTATTGAAATGCTTTTAATGTAAGCTGCTTTGAGCCTCCTGCGGGAGAGAAAAAGCAGAATATAGTTAATAATAATAATAATAATAATAATAATAATTCTTTATTTATACCCCAGCCTAATAATGGTAAGGTAAGAAAGAGGGAGGGAGGGAAGGAAGGAAAGAAGGAAAGAAAGAAAGAAAGAAAGAAAGAAAGAAAGAAAGAAAGAGGGATCAAAGGAGGGAAGGAAGGAAAGAAAGAGGGAGGGAAGCAAGCATGGAAGCAAAAAGCAAAGGAAGGAAGGAAAGAGGTAGCGAAGGAAGAAAGAAAGGGGAGAAAGGGGAAGGAAAAGAAAAAGGGGAAGAAAGGAAAGAGGAAGAGGAGGAATTAAGGAGGGAAGGAAAAAAGAAAAGGGAAGGAAGGAAAGAGGGAAGGAAGGAAAGAAAGAGGGAGGGAAGGAAAGAAGGAAAGAGAGAAGCAAGCATGGAAGCAAAAAGCAAAGGAAGGAAAGAGGTAGAGAAGGAAGGAAGGACAGAAAGAAGGGAGAAAAAGAAAAAGGGGGAAGGAAGGAAAGAGGAAGAGGAGGAATTAAGAAGGGAAGGAAAAAGAAAAGGGAAGGAAAGAAAGAAAGAAAGAAAGAAAGAAAGAAAGAAAGAAAGAAGGGAGCAAAGGAGGGAAGGAAGGAAAGAAAGAGGGAGGGAAGCAAGCATGGAAGCAAAAAGCAAAGGAAGGAAGGAAAGAAGTAGAGAAGGAAGAAAGGAGAGAAAGTGGGAGGGAAGGAAAGAGAGAAGGGAGGATGGAAACAAAGAGCAAAGGAAGGAAAGAGGCAGAGAAAGAAGAAAGGAGAGAAAGAGGAAGGGAAAGAAAAAGGGGGAAGGAAGGAAAGAGGGAGCAAAGGAAGGAGGGAAAGAAGAAGAGAAAGAGGGAGGGAAGGTTGGTCACAGCAACGTGTGGCAGGTACAGCTAGTATAGTAATATATAATACTGATATTGTACTATGGTAATAATATAATATATATATATATTGTGTGTGTGTGTGTGTGTGTGTGTGTGTGTGTGTATACACACATACATATAATATATTATAGTTCATAGTTTGGTGGGAATAATATAATATATATATATATTGTGTGTGTTTATACACACACACACACACACAATATATTATATTATTCCCATCTATCTATCTATCTATCTATCTATCTATCTATCTATCTATCTATCTATCTATCTATCTATGTCTTATAAGCTTCTCTGAGTCCCCTTCGGGATGAGAAGGTGGCATAGAAATGTTGTAAACAAAAATAAACAATATAATATAATTGGCCTGATGAGTAGCAATGCCTTGACCCTGCTGTGTATGGTCCTTGCCTGCCTTGGAGTCCTTTGGGGAAACTGAGGCAAGGCCTCTCTTCCCAGCCAGACCTGAATGCCTGGCTGCCTGATTCCTTTGGGGAAAGCCCACTTTTGGGTGGTGTCTTCCTTCATGGTGGACTGGGTGGCCCTTGGGACCCCTCCCAAGCCTGGGAGGCTGGGATTCAGCCAAGAGGGAAGCCCAGGCTCCAGACCAGCACCTTGACCCGTGTGGGTGCAGGGCTCTGGCACGCTCTCTGAACACAACACCCCCCTTCCCTTTTGTCAGGGAACACCCCCCTTCCCTCTTGACAAAAGGGAGGGAGGGTCGTCAAGGAGCCCCAGATGGGGAGGGGGSCGGTGTCATTA